AACAGAATCGGTGACAAAGGGCAGCCCTGGCGGAGTCCAACTCTCACCGGAAACGAGCCCGACTTACTGCCGGCAATGCGGACCAGACTCTGACACCAGTCATACAAGGACCTGACAGCCCGTATCAAAGGGCCCGGCACCCCGTACTCCCGGAAAACCCCCCACAGGGCTCCCCGAGGGACACGGTCGAACGCCTTCTCCAAGTCCACAAAGCCTCTCTAAAATCTACTTTATATTGTTAGTTTTTAGCTCAAAATGATTGCCAGAAAAGATCATGGCTGTATAATTAATGGTTTGTCTGTTTCAGCTAGAGAGGCCTAGGAGGGTAAATGGGAGTCTACATGTGGGCTCCCACTAGGAGTTCTATTCTGACGCATTTTCTAGCATGTGGCTTAAAGATCTCCTCACAGCCGCTTAGCAAGCAGTGAAATAGAAGGTCTGGAAGTGAAACTAAAATAAATGGCACCGTGAGAAATCAATGAATAACCCCAACCAATCACAGGTTTGCTTCCTGACATGTCAATCATGGTCATCTGCTTGTCCCTCCCCTGTGCGCGTACCCTGACACATGAACAAATCGACCCCCCAATACTCGTGCAGGACGCCATGGCTGGAAGCTAGCCACTGTTATGCTACGCTCACATACTTTTTTGATGCTTTTACAAGTTTAGTTCCGATGCGCGGCTGAAGCATCTTAGCTGCTCTAGCTGCGCGGTGGAAAAAAGTGGGTTTGATGCGTACTGGGCGGAGCTACCCTATCCTTGCTTGTAACAACCGCAGCTACACTGTGTGCAGAATTATTAGGCAAGTTGTATTTTTGAGGATTAGTTTTATCATTGGGTAACAATTGTGTTCTCAATCAACCCAAAAGACTCCTTAATATAAAAGTTTTATGTTTTTGGAAGTTGATGTGTTTTTTGTTTTGTTTTTTTAGATTTGGCCATTTTGTGAAGATGTCTGTCAGCGCAGGTAAATATTGCAGAAAGGTCCAAACAGACAGCAGCAAACCATTTGAAAACAAATGATGCAAAGAGCAGTGTTGCCAACCTAGCACTTTGTCACCATATTTAGTAAGTTTTCAGACCCCTCTATCACTTTGGTTTCAAAAAAGCTCCTAGCGCCAAATCTAGAGACTTTTTTGTGCTACTGGAGACTTTGGAGACAACATCTAAAAGCAGCGAACTCTGCTCTCCAGAGCAAGTAGATTGGTAACCCCGCCTCCTACTCTCCTCTATCTTGTCTGCTGTCATGATTCATGCAGCTATTATTTCATCCAGATGAAAAATGAAGAACATTGCTCTTTCTTGTGTTTTTTGAAACACAGGAAAGAGCAATCAGCTAAGTGAAATGTCCTAAATAAGCCCCGTCTCAAACCACCTATTTTTTTTTTTTGTTCACTCTTTAAAGCGTCAAACTCAACGCTATTTCTGAGATTTTTAATTGAAAGAGCTTTCTGAATGGGAAGCGAAACATCTTCAAGCTGAGAAATAATATCCTGTGGATTGTTTTTTTTTTTAACTTTTTTGGAATGACTGTAACCTGGATAACTGAGAATTTTCACCAGCATAAACTGGTGATCTGTGGTTTTTCTCCCCTATTTAAGAAAACAGTGAGGGCCAGGTAATATTCTTTTAATTTCCCTTTAAAACATTTATCTGTTGCAGTATAATATCTGAACACTTTTATCCTATCAGTGATGGCGGTACTGACGTAAGTAGTTTTGTTCTGTATGCTGTCGCAGAACGCTCCCAGTCCAGGTGGCTCCAGAAGCTGGTCGATCCCAAATCCCGCGCCCTCCATGAAGGAAATGTAGCGATCCACCAGCCTGGCTTCGTTTTCATTGATCAATATAGATCCCTAAGCAAGCAATTACAAACAACACATTCTTATTATTGTAGCAACAGAACAAGGGCAGAACAAAATGATCTGCAGGTCAGAGATGTAAACACAACCGAGATGCCGCTATGCAGCAGCAACAATCAGCATACAATGGTGTTGTGTCTCTCTTACCACCAGCTTCTTGTCACAGCTCAACTTGATGGTGGATCCATGCATGGTCCGGTATGATGTAGATTTACCAGCCTGGCCAACTTTTATCTTCTGCACATAAAATGCAACGTAAACACTGGTCATCAAATACTGCAGTGACATGCTGCACTCCTTAAAGGCAAGAACACTCCGAATCCATTTTTGTTTTGTGTCTGATCTGACAGAAAACCGTCGGGCTAGTATGTTGCTTTTAGCGCTCATTGAAAGTCAATGGGGATGATCACACCTGACACGATTTCCTGCAGGGGGCAGCGTAGCTCCGACTGAGATAGAGCCCGGGTTTATTTTAGGCAGAGAGACGCGGTTACAAGGTAAAATGTAAGAAATATTTTATTTATACTCTTACTTTGTTTGTGTTTCATGGGTTGTGTTCTAATGAACTATTATGATGTATAATGTGTGATTCATCTGTTATTAACTCTTGCTTAAGATTGTTCCAGATAAAGGTCATGCAACGGACGGGTTGTGAAAGAGACCTGAACAGCCTCTATCACATGTTTCTTCTAAACATGTGTTCTTGGAACAATTCAATTATAAAATATGTGCTGAGGTTTAAAGTAAGATCATTTATTTTCCCTTTCCCTTAGTTAAACCTCAGCTGGTGTAATTAGGGACATCCCCTTTTCTTCAATAAATAGCAAGGAGAAAGCTGAAGACTGCAGAGTGGGGTGGAGATTGTAAACTCTGCAGTGTCTTCCTACTCTTCTTGCGAGTAACTAAATAAATTGTCTCTGTGCCTTCTTTCTTTCCCTGTATGTATGTATGATGTTTTAGGTGCTTAGACCTGACATAAAACACATCCCCTTTGGGGGGAAATAAAAAACAAAATCAGTTAACCACATGGGGAAAGAGTCAGGTATGGAGTCGCACATCAAATATTGTCATGGTTTTGGTTCTATTTACGTTTTATCTTTACGTTTTCATTTTATTTCCATTTGGTGTAATTCTAGTTATTTTTTATTGTATTTGAGTTCTTGTTTGCCCTCCGTTGCTCTCTTGTGTCAGTCTCCTTCTCCCTAGCTCCCTTCTAAACTCCTCTGTTCACACCTGCTCCCAATCTGCTGATTAGCCTGGTCTTTGTTTCTGTCTCCTATATATACACCTCCTGCTCAGTCACTGGTTGCTGGTTTGTCTTAATTTCTTTGCCCCCTTGTTGTGAGAATTCCTGGTTTTCAGTATTTGTGGATTTTTGCTTCTGTTGCATTTTTTGGATAATTAAATTTGCAAGAAATCAGCTTCAGTCTCTGTATTTGGGTCCTTTAAACCTCCACCCAACCTGAAACATACATAGCAAGCAGGACAGACTGGTGCAAAAACAATACATGAAACACTTGGATAAACTTCCCAGATCTCTCTGAGAACCACCTCTCTGCCTCAGTCAGCAGATCTTATATTTTAAATACAGGCATATGAGCATTCTCTATCTGATCTGGTTTGAGATGCTGCAGAGACTCATTAAGTAGAGATTTGCTTTATAGCTGCACAGGTGTTTTTTAATTTTTTAAAATACTTTTTCATAATCTGTCAAGTGAAATGTGGGAACTTGTTTTAATTTGTGTATAGCACAGAAACAGAAGTGTAGTCGGAGCTTCTCTATACACAGTCAGTGTGACATGGAAAAAACATTGTATCGGAGATTAAAAAGTCGTACGGCACCGCTGTGCTCAGGCCTTTGAGCAGCAAAGACTTTTAGCTAACAGCGGTTCTAAACCTGTAACTTCCAGGTTTAAAGCCACTGGCATCACTGCACTGTGGCTAAATTAACCCTCAATGTTTTGAATCTGACAGCAAGCCAGTTTGGACAAGCAGAATTTGAAGTCTGGTAAAGATAAAAACATGTTTAACCCTCCAGATCACAGAAACAAAAAGTGTCTGATCAGGTAAGCATCACACCGGTTTTATTGCCAACTTTTAAACTTTTAAAATTCATGGTATTTTTATAGCCTGGTAGCGTAACATTTAGTTCCTACAAACCAAAGAAATTTTATAGCCTTCATACCAGTAAGAAAAAAAAACATCAGTGAATAAAACAGACAAAAATATCAACACATGCACATAAATAAATACTTAAAAAAATATGTAATTAAAAAATAAAGTTGAAGATTATAAAGGACAAAAAAATAAATAACGTAAATATTACAAAGGCAAATAAAAAAAAGAAGCTAAATGAAAGAGTTATATACATTTATGTCTCACTGTATAATTTAATTTCTACTTACATTTATTTGTTTATTGTAGTTTTGGTGGCAATTAATTGTATGCTTATTCATTTATTGAGCATTTATTTATTTCTGTATTTATTGTTAAATATGGCAGAGTTGGTCCTCCATATGCACTGACTTTCAGGGGTATAAAGAAACAGGAAGAGGTGAAAAGGAAAAGGAATTGAATCTGTGGAGCTAAATTCATGCACAACTTTCTTTCCCTATTTTTCTCCGTACATCAGCGATGGGTTAATGAGGCATCTTTAAGCGTTTCGACTCTTTGCCAAACTTTATTGATTCTGCCTTGATACTGTCTCACAGAATACCGAACCCTGCTGGACATTTAAAGACACTACATGCTGCTGATTTAAAAGACTGAGCTGAATGGATTTTATGTATTAATTTACATCTATGTCTAAATTGAAATATCTTTGATATTTTTAGGTGCAGTCAATAAATAATGTAAAAATATATCATAATGTGAACATTTAGGGGAAAATGTGAATGAGGATGCCTGTGGCCTAGGTTTTTACATAATAATTTTAAAACAATAAGTTCAGTAAAAACAGTAAATAAACTAAGATTCAATTTGAAATGAACTTTAATTCAGATAAGTTGAGAGATAACTCAGAGGAAAAGGATGACACAACGAGAAAACGTAACGGCTGAAACGTTCCTTTTAGGCTGCTCCAAAATTCTTGATACTTTTAATGATAAACCGCAAAAGATGAGACATTTTTTTTAACAGATGCATCATGTTGACAGCTAGGTTTTTAAACACAGTTTAGAAAGTCAGTCAGTTAGAAACAAGTCCTCTATCGGTCACATGACTTTCTTGAAACAACATGGCACGGATACAGTGCATGGGCTCGAAGCATGACCCGAAACATTGATGTTGGTGGACCCATAGCTACCAAACGCCCCTCCTTCCCCTCAGCCTCAGCTTAACATTTTGCTTTATTTTCTAGATGCCTTTATCCTGCCTGAAAATTTGGCAAACTCAGCTTCTTCACTGCAAAAAATGTCAATCTTAATAAGTCAATTTTTCTTAGAATCAGTGCATTTTTTCTTGAATTGAGGAGGTAAGTGAGACACTTTGCCAATGGAACAAGACAATTTACATTAAGTAAGTAAGAAAAAACAATTGCATTGTCTTATTTCAAGTGAATTTTATCTAATTATCTTATTTTAAGAGTAAAAATACTCATTCCATTGGCAAATCCTCTTACTTACCTACTCAAATTAAGGGTAAATACACTGAATTTAAGAAATCTTTACCTATTTCTAGATTGTTTTTGTAATGTTACCGCGTTTTCATTTATGCTTTGATCACCACATTATGACTGTTCTCTCCTCCTCTTACCCCAAAATTGCGGATGATGTGAGCCTTGATCGTAGCAGCTAGCTGGTCCTGGTGGTCCGGACTGGAGAGCCAGCGCTGCCTTTCGGCTGGCAGGGAGTCCAGGGCCTTGTCAGTGGGCCAGAAGATGGTGAAGGGCTGGTGGATGGACATCCGGAGCACTGGGAGCAGACCTGCATCCTTCACATAAAAATTACAAGCGACATTAGCTATTTTCAGTAAACGTAGGTGTCCAGTCCCATTGCTGCAGCTAAAACACTCAGGATCAGTTGATATTGATTTATCAGGGGGAAGTGATAAGGGGAGGATGGGACTCTATCACAATGAAGAGGAGAAGGCCAGCAGGATAAGATCTAATGATGCAGATTTGTTGTATTTACCTCAATTAGCTTATAAAAGCGTCCATAACCATAAAACGTTGCTGCAGTGCTGAAGTTCATCTAAACACAGAAACAGTGGCGTTACTGCATGTTGGTCTAGATTCCTGTTAGCATATTTTAAGTACATTGAACAAAGTACTTTAATGTTAATCTGCGGCTTGTCTTGCAGGTTGTAGGGCGTCAGCAATCTGTCGATGTGGTGGATGACTCCGTTGGTTGTGGCGTAGTCGCTCTTCACGATCATGGATTTGTTGTTGATCCAAACCGAACCCTGCAGAGGTTCAGGGGTGATCGTTAACAACCTGCAGACGCCTGAAAGTCTGGATGACTTTTTTTCTCTGTTGCTTAAGTGCTTTTCTCACTTGCCTAACAAGCAGAACAGGAACAAGTTCATACAAACACATTAGACTTGACCTTTGACCTTCCTCAACTGCATTTTTCTGATTTAAATGTCAGAGCCTGCCTTCAGATATGGTTATTTAAAAAATAGTTTTACTATCCTCATAGATTTTTATGCTCAAAAGAAGGTTGTCTGGTTATCAGAGTCAGAATGATCCTCCACGCATGGAGACAGCATGGGGGAGTGGAGGATTTTCCAGGAGATACCAACCATCATAGATGATTTAATAGTGAGGAGGAGGGACTAACCAAAGAGGACTCAATAGGAGAATTCCAGACCAGAACAATTGCGGACCTAACGAAGACAATTACCAGTCAAACATTTAACACAAAATAAATCGATCCCGCCAATCCATTCCAACTTAAGTTATGAAACACTTTATCATCAAAGTGCTGTACAAAAAAACCCCAAACAATTTTATTATTAAGAATCAAATACAGGCTAATAAAACCGGACATTGTTTCTTGGCTAGCTGCTGCAGAACCCAGGATTGGATCATCAGCCAGGCGTGCGTAGAACCTTGCGGAAGAAGCGGTGTTCTGTCAGATGAGCATACCCCATCAGACCAGCATACACATAGTCAATATCCGTTTATCCCTTTAGTTTTGTATGAAAAATACACTCTAATCTACCTCAATGGGCGTGTATCCCTTTAGTCATGTACAAAAAAAACTATTTAATTGTTTTGCAGTGTTTATTTTGGAAAAAAAATTGCCGTGGCTAAATATTTTTCATTTTATTCTCTGTATAATCACCTATAAATCAGTTCCAGTTTGGTTCCACCTGAAAAAAATATTCCTCAATGCTTTTTTTGTCATACCTTTACAAACAATTGCATTTCCAATTTATAGTTTGGGAGCTGTACTTGCTTTAATTCAAGTTTTGTAATAAGAGCTTTTTTTAAAATTATTATTTGTGAGTGTGTTACCTCCTTCACACTGAACTCCAGAGTGTATCCCGACAGAGAGACCACACTGCTGGTGGTTTTTAGGTCACTTAAGGTCAGAATCTCACAGGAAACCATGTGGTAATCAACCATGTGCTCCAGGCGGCCCCGTTCCTTCCATTCATCAATCTGTTGAAACACAAAGCGAGAGCCAGACCAATGACTCCTAACGCCAGCATGAAGCTGTCCTGCCTGCTGGTTGAGGATGAAACAAAGCTGAGAATGTATGAAGCTGTGTCAGATATTAGAGGTTTGTTGCCCTCACTATGGAGTCATTGTTGGTTTCCTCCAGAGGCACGAAGACGGTAAACGGTCCGTTACCAAGGGGGCGACTGCTGGATTTCTGGGAACAGAACAGAAAAGGTGAACAGTGTGGACATCAGCAGATACCGACACCATTGTTTACAATCATTGAGAACAGCGGGGTTCAGGGGTGCATCAGCTAAACAGCTAATGTAGCCGCTCAGTGAGTCTGAACTAGGGCAGAAACCAGTTGTCTGGTTGTAAAAAAAAAAAATTTTTTTGTTTGTTTTGGAAGCATACATAGCCTAATTAATATAATCTATTAACCTAAAGCAATATGCATGGTCTGGTTCTTACATGTCAGGTATGCCGGTCACTGACCTTGACCAAGGCACCTTACAGTAGAACAGTCCCTGGACTTGCATGGCTATCACTGCTGACGTCATAGAATGTCACATTTGCTCGACTTTTACTGTCAAATGGTCGACCTATAACACCTATTTAATGCCCGAGGTTGAACTACATATCCATCTAATTTCTGTCACACTTATCCCAAGCGAGAGGCAGGGTCCACCCTGGACAGGTCTGCAGTCCATCACAGGGCAACACAGAAACACACAGGAAAAACAACCATTCACACACACACCTAAGGAGAATTTAGAGAAGCCAATTAACCTAACAGCCAGGTTTTTGGAGTCTGGGAGGAAGCCGGAGTACCCAGAGAGAACCCACGCATGCTCAGGGAGAACATGCAAACTCAATGCAGAAAGACCCCGGGCAGGGATTTGAACTCTTGCTGCAAGGCAGCAGTGCTACCCACTGCCCCACTGAGCAGCCCTTAACTACGTCTCATCTTACATAATCATATTAATATGCCTTGCACTGATTCATTTAACACTGAACAGAGCTGCATGTTGAGACCAATAAAACATTTGAATGATTCTTGAAATGTTAGAACCAGTTCCTATTGGTCCTCGAGTCCAAACCCCAAGCAAAGCTTAAAAGTGTAAGTTATTGTATTTTCTCATGATGTCTGCTACTATTTATTTGTTACCCTGATTGGTTAAAACCTCATTTGGTAGACAGGCACTAGTTATCGCTTCACCCAAATAGCTCTTAAACGGAAACACTGTTTTTTTTTTACATTGGGCCCTTGATTTTACGTTATTCCAGCATGTTCTACTCACCCATATGAGTTTTGTGTCATTTGGAGCTGTTTTGAAGATATTCTGTTAGGTTATATCCAAGTAATGTCTTCCTATGGGCATTGACTTGAAGGCACAAACTAAACTGTTCATGATTCATAACATTCTGCTCTCTCTGCTTTTTCTCATAGTAGCTTCATCTGGTCTGTTCCTGTTTGGCTGTGACTCCATCCTGGAGAGAAATATCAGCTGTGCTGCTGCCATCAACACCTTTGTTTCTAGATGTTGGAGCTTGGCCTGTTTTTCAGTGTAGTCCTGTTTCTCTGACTGTGACTGGCTGGATGTGCTCTCTTCATCCTCTAACATGGGAGTGGACGGGGCCGCTTTTTACAGTTGCCTTTTGTATCTATGCTTCTTTTTCTATCTCTGCTTCTGTCTCCTTGAACCCCAGTTGTCCGCTCACACTGAGCCTGGTTCTGCTGGAGGTTTCTTCCTGTTAAAAGGGAGTTTTTCCTCTCCACTGTCGCTACAAGCATGCTTAGTGTGGGGGATTGTCTTCAAATCAATGAGTCGATGCAATGAACTGGTTTTCCTTAGATAGAAAACTTTGAATCAATCTGATTGGATGATCTGGTGAACTGCAAAGTGCTTTGAGTTGACATGATGTGAATTGACCCTATAGATTCTTTTGTACATCCTTGATCATAAAAATATACAATCATGGAACAGAGCCTGAACAGGGTCTTTGCTTTATCACAATGGCACTGTTGTTCTGCAGCGTACTGGATTTAATGTCTTGTTGAAACCATTTATAACAAGGCAAACAATCCAAGATATTTATTCTAATTTAGATTTTCATTATGAAAGGCGGTATGGTCTCACTTACCGACATCATTTTCTGAAAGAACCCGTTCTCTGACTGCCGGAGCACCTCCTGCGGGATCAAACAGCCTCTTGTGAATGTGTGGCTGGGTGCTAGGAGCCCAGCAGGAGCTTAGAGGTCATGTGACTCACGTTGTAGGTATTTCCCCTGCAGTCGAAGCCGTCCCCAATGTAGCCGCTTCGACAGGTGCAGTTCCTCTGGCCCTCCCCCATATACCGGCAGATTGCGTATCTACTGCAGTCACCGTTGTTCTGCAGAGAGGTCACAGGTAGAAACACTGCTTTACAGAACAGAATGGCAGCAGTTTGGCGCTGTAGAAAATGCACACCAACTAAAATACGGAAAACTTTGGTGGAATCAATCGTTTTGTGTACACTGGAAAAAATCGAAATCTAGATACGTCGTTGTTTTCTTAAAATAAGTGCATTTGTTCTTGGATTACGGAAGTTAAGGTGACATGTTGCCAATGGAACGGGACAAGTTACACTTAAAATAAGAAAACACAATTGCATTGTCTTATTTCAAGTGTATATTATCTAATTATCTTATTTTAAGAGTAAAAATTGGCAAACTATCTCATTTACCTACTCAAATTAAGGGTAAATACACTTAATTTAATAAACTTTTTCTATTTTCCAGCGTAATCTGGACTACTGTTCCATAATTTGTGCAACAGCTACAGAAAATCACTTGAACAAATTACAGGTTGCAAAAAATAAAGCAGCTTAGCTTGTCTTTAACTGTTCTTTCAGAACAAGTATTAGAGACATGCACCATCAGTTACCACGGCTGCTTGTAAGGAGCAAAACGAAATTTTCTCTGATAAAATTCTTAAAAAATGTCATTATTACAAAAGCACCTGAAATTACTTCTAATAGATTGACTTTTTCAGTGACATTCCTAATTATTCCACCTTCCAATCAAGTGAAAGATGTTTTTGGTTACCTGCCTGTCGAACAAACCAACAGAACATGGTGTTATAGAGCGATGGTGGCGTGGAACTTGCTTCTGCAATTCTTGGTTTCAGAGATGTAGCTGCAATCTCAGCTTTTCCAAAAGGCTTAGACTTTATGTTTTTACTTTAGAGTGACTGTAACATTTACAGAATTAACTAATTCATAATGAGCACTAGGAACTGAAATGTTTTGTAATTTACATAATACCCAGAGATTGGTAATGTTTTGTACATAGAAGAGCTCATACTATATTTGTATGTGTAAATGTGTGTATGTTATATATGTATATGGAATTGTATTGTTGTGTGTGTGTGTACTTCTGTTTTTGGCTTCATCAATACATTGCTTGATGTAATATCTGTTAAAAAAATGTTAAGACCCCATAAAGAATAGCTGCTGCTTTGACTCAGTAGCTGATGGGGATCTAAACAAACAAACAGGTGACAGACACATTTCATATGGAGGATTAAAAAGTGCCAAAATTAGATAAATAAATACAGCATTAAATAAATAATTAAATGTAAATTCATTAAATAAATAAGGAATTGAATATATAAATGTCATTAATTTAATAAAATTTGCTTCATTTTATTAAAAAAATATATATTATTATTTCAGTGTGCATTTAATTTTTTCATGGTCCTGTGTCGCAGTGCATCGAAACCAATAAAAGA